TGCATCAACCTCCCGCAGGCTCTCCCTCGCGCACCAAGCCCCTCGATCTTTCATTCATTCATTCATTCTGTCTTTCTTCCTTCCTTTGTGTGTGTGTGTGTGAGAGAGAGAGAGAGAGAGAGGAGAGAGAGAGGGGTGGGGCAGGGGGAGAGAGAGAGAGAGAGAGAGAGAGAGAGAGAGAGAGAGAGAGAGATCCAGGTAATTTCGTATTCTGTTACCTCACAGTGGGCAGTACCAGGATGCAGTATGAGCTACACCCTTCCCACCTGCCCTGCTACCACTCCTTCCCCGTATCCCATTCCCACAAGAAGTTAGGATGGGGGCTTGCTCCCAGGTCTCTCAATCCAGTGCCACCTCTCATGGGTTGAGGTGGGCTGTTAGTGCAGCTGTTTAGATACAGCTGAACTCTTGGAAGCGGGGTGCACAGCTCAGCCAGGCTTCAACAAATCGGCTCCAGCCCATGAAAAGGAAGGAGCATGTACCAGGACGCACACCACAGCGCAACGGGTTAAGAATGGAGGCCTGGCCCTGGCCCTGGCCCTCTGAGGCCTCTTCCTGTAACAGTGGCAGTGTCTGGCGGATGACACGGGTGGTCACCACAGTGATGACTGATTCTTTCAGCTCCATGTTGTGGGCGACCCTGTGGATGGTCCCATGAATCACAAAGACATTGGTACAGGCAGCAAGAAGGAGCTCAGCATCACTGCAGGGCCTGCAGGCATCAAGATCTTGGATTGGGGAGGCATTTTCGCATGCGGGTCCTTGTCCAGCTCAAAAAGGAAGGCAGCAACTCTGCGGCTGATGAGGCGATGTGGGGTGGCCTGAAGGAAAAGGGCCCGGCTGTCGCGGGGACACTATACTATGCAGCGGCTCCTAGTCGGGTCTGGACCCTCCGCTAGTAGCAACTCTAAGTTGCCGCCCATCCGTTCAGCGAAGTCCTGGGCACCAGCGAAGGGCCGCGCGGGGCGCATACAGACGATGCTGGGCTGTATTCCTGGGTCCGGGCTGCCAGGGTCAAGCGCAGCGCCTCGGCTGGATATAGCTATTCGATAGTGCCCTCAGTACAATACAGGGTCAGCTGCCCCAGGCTGCCGGGCTGCTTGGCCAAACTGCTACACCTCCAGCAGCAACGGTCCTTAGAGTAGCGGGCACGAACAGATGAGGGCAGGAGGCCGAGGACAGCACGCAGAGAAGCGCCGCCTACAGACAAGGCTCGGGACCCGCCGGGACCTCGGGTTGCCGTCACGGGAGGTCAGAGACACAGCACTAGCCGCGGGCAGCGTAGCCTCCGGGCGCTTCCACACAATCGCTCCATTTTTCTTTTAAGGCGCCCCGGACACCACCCACACCCCACACCTCCAGCGTCTCACCACACAGTGCTGTCCCCACACAGACTGGCTGTCTCTCTCAGAGTGGACACTTGGTGGACCTCTCTTGGCCGGAGCCCGAGGCACGGCCCTAGCCCCAGACTTGGTTGTGCTCCCTGGCGCAGGAACAGTCCGGGTAGGGACGAGGGTGCCTCCTTTCCCAATCGCATGGCTCTAGACACCTGAGAGCTGCCCGGCTCCGGATGGGATTGGACAGAGGACGTGTCTTCCCAGTCTCTCAGCACACAAACAGGTCCCTGGTTGAGCTATAAGCTTTCCTGTCTGCGTTCATCCCCAAAAGCTCATTTTATTCCCAATATCACCATATAAAACAGGTTGTTTTTTTTTGTTGTTGTTCTTTTTTCTTTAATCTGGTTTACTCTTGGACACACGCCACACTATTCCCAAATAAATACGAGGAGACTCCTTCTTACTTATAATTGCCCTGGCTTATCTTGCCTTATTTCTAGCCAACTTTCTTTCCTTAACGTAAATTATACCATCTTCCCCCTTTCTTTTTCTTTCTTTCTCTTTCTCTCACGCTCCCTCCCTCCCTTCCTTCCTTCCTTCCTTCCTTTCTTTGTGTTTTTCTTTTTCTTTTTTTTTCTTTTTTGCCTCTGGGCTTCTCCCTTTCACTCTTCTACTTCTCTTTCCTTCTTACTGAGTGGCTGGCTGGGTGGCTAGGTGGCTGGCCCCTGGTGTCCTCCTCTCCTTCTCCTTCTCTCACCGCTCACCTTACTTCTGCTGTTTCTTCTCTCCGCCTGGAAGCCTCGCCCATCCCTAGCCAACTGGCTATTAGAAGTTCAGCTCTTTATTAGACCAGTCAGGTGTTTTAGGCAGGCAAAATGACAAACGCAACAGTCCTCCGGCGCCGCCTCTCGCCTGACTCCAGTCAACCTTCCCTGACACAGCACTTCTGTGCGCGCAGGAGCGCCCTCCTCTCAACACCCACCAGCTACTACTGGAGGGGGGTTCTGATGGGGCGCCTGGTGGTCGTCTTCAACAAAGAACGACATAGATGCCGCCGCACCATTTAATCATCCAAACCTTCAACCTTCATTCTCCTTAAATCACCCAGAGTCTCTTTTAAGATTCAAAGCATCTCTAGGATATGCAAAGTCCCTCAGCAACTCTTTTGTCCCTTCACTGTGCTACCTATGGGCTTCTGCAAATTCCAATGTAAAAAAAGTTTTTTTTTCTTTCCATTTTTAAGTTAAACACTGGTTTTCCAGGGAGATGAAAGAAGAGTCGGGGCGCGATCGCGAGCATAGGAAAGCAAAACCGAAGTCGCCACACGGTGGTGGGACCTTCGGCGGCGAGCACGGGCTGTGACGGCGGTCGTGGGGAATGGTGTTGTCCATGGCATGGGTGGTTCAGTGGTAGAATTCTCGCCTGCCACGCGGGAGGCCCGGGTTCGAGGTCCAAAGCCCAGTGTCTGACATCTACTGTTCACTAGCAATCTTGTGGGTGACAGAGGGCGAGGACAGTCACATTCCGGCAGCTCTCCATCACAGCACATGCAGTTTGTCTCCCAGGCCTAGACGGGCTGCGTTCTAAGGCTGCTGCTCCCCTCGGTGGTTGTCCCATGATACAGGCCTCCATCCCCAAGACCCTCGCCTTGGCCGGTGACAGAGGCTGCTGAACTTTCTTCTGTGGATTCTGAGCCTGCCACGTGGATGTTCTTGCAAAGCTTTGGCTGTTCCCCATGAGCCACCTTTTCCGGTTGCCGCGTGGCTTCCACTGAACCTTCAGCCGTGTCCCTTCAAAAACTCCCCAGAAGCGCCAAGATTACATAATCCAAACCGCACAGCGCCAAGCCCGGAACCCTGCAGTTGGCACGCAACGGTCCGGCCTGGCTTGGACACCTGCTGCCATAGGATTGCCCAGGGTCTGTTTCCCACGCCTATTCTCCTAGTTCACGGCTGGCCCGGGGACCGAGGGACAGCACTGCCGGCCGGACTCACCCTTCCCAGATGCTGCTCCACACTGCTCTCTCTCCTCTCCTGGTGCCGGTGATCCCGAGGGCTTCAGTTGCAAGGGAGGCGTAGAGTCGGGTGGGGAGGAGGCACTGTGTGTGTTTCCCAAGAATCTGCTGGCATCTCCCACTATGCCGGCGGTCGCGCTCGAGGAGAACTGCCTCTGTGTCCCAGATCGGCTGGCAAGGTCAGAACCGAGGGGAACCGGCAGGGGACCCAAGGAGTGCACAAAGGTTCCGCACCACTTTCCCGACTCTGGCCGGTGTCCGCAAGCCTTCTCCCACGCCCCCCACCCTCCCACACCATGGAGCCGCAGAAACCCTGCCTTCAGGTTACAACCGCCAGGCTTGGCCTTAGCTCTCCCCAGCTGCTCTAGGGCTCTAGGGGCTTTCGAGGAAACCGTGCCTCGGCTGTTGGCTCCCCTCTTCCCCCGCAGAGCTGACTAAGGGTATCCCACCAGGTGCTTTGGACTGCGAACTGGCAGACCTGGCCTTCTGCGGGACACTGACACCTCCCCACCGCACCCCACCGATACAAGTTCTCCACCCGAATCCATCCCTTACCTAACGACCACCGTAAACAATCACGGAGATCCCCTGGAATTTTGCAAGATACACAAAAACACACACGAGAGAGAGAGAGCGCGCGAGAGAGATACAGACACACACACACACACACACACACACACACACACACACACACAGAGGGCACAAACATGCAAATATATAGAGAGACCCACTCACAGGCACAAACACACGCACACCCAAAGTATACTGAAAAAAATCGCTACATTTATCTGAACTGGTCGCTGAGTTGTGAAGAGCAGGGTAGAGGTCACAGGGACCTGCTGATCCAAACAGGTGACCCAGGTGGGACAGGTGGGACAGGTGGGGCAGGTGGGGCAGATGGGGCAGATGGGGCAGATGGGGCAGATGGGGCCCTTCAGCTAGAGGGTTTCTTCCAGACCAAAGCGCAGGCATGGGAGTGTGAGGCGGAGACTCCGTGGGCTCCGTGAGTGTCTGGGAAGAAAGCATGTGCCGGAGCGCGCTGCGTGGCGGGTGTGTGCGGGCTGAGACGGTGGGAGGGGAGTGGGAAGCTAAGAAAAGAGTGGAGTGTTGAGATCGGGCTCTTATCTTACCCGTGAGTGGAGTAGAGCAGCTGGGGCGCTCTTGGGCAAAAGGGAGGAGAGGCGAGGAAGCTAAGGAGCCTGATGGCTAATGTGCAAAGAAGAAATTAGCATGTTTCCCTGACCGGGAATCGAACCCGGGCAGCGGCGGTGAGAGCGCCGAATCCTAACCACTAGACCACCAGGGAGCATTGTCTGCAACCGACGGTCCCGCTCTCCCCTGCTGGACACAGACACCCTGCCAGCCTCTCAGCCAGTCTGACAGCCAGACTGCCGGACGGACGGCCCGCTCGCCAGCTCGCCGGCTCGCCCCCCCCGCC